TGACCACTGTTTTAAATCAATATTGCATTTAGGAATAAACTACATTCCCTCTAATGATAAGTCAGCTTAACTTTCCTAATTTGATAACTTCTGATTTTAGAGTTACTCATCTTTTCTTTCCTTTTTGTACCTTGTTAATTAAGCTTTCGGTGGTAAAGTGCAAATTGTGACAATTGGGCCCTGAAATAGAAAATTATTTCAACTTAGTTGAGTTCTATTGCTTTTGCATCGTTTTAAATTACTTCTAAATATGCTGAATCCCTGAGAAACAATATTCCACCCAAAATGCAAGTGTATATAATATTGGAAGAATTAAACTGTAAAGTCATATTACACAGGATATCTAACGTCAAAGCTTCTAGTGCATTAACTGACTTGCTTGACCCTGGTTTAGTGTTTCTTTTGTCTCTGTAGATTAGTCAAACTTTGATACCATTTTTACAGAGTGTTAAAGAGACAGCATTAGAAACTTTGCTTAGCCTATCAAGAAGTAGAATTCTGGAAGATTATCATACTGTTTGAAAGATCAGTAATAAAGAGTGGATAATGATGAAAGATCTGAACAAAAAATTAAATGAGCTAAAGCCCACAATTTGATTATTATTTGTATGTGTATAATTCTGAAGACCTCTTTAAGCATGAACTGAAAAACAAACTTTTAGAGCTACTAATTTTGCAGCACTTCAAACAAAAAAGATAACATTTGTAATATTTTAGATTAATTGTGATCACAGACTATAGGATATCACATCATTTAGTTCTGTCATTTATTCATGCAAATTTTCTTGAACACCTTTTATTTTCAGAAAACTGTACTGGATGTATAGTATGTGTGTACTGGTGTGGTTAAAACAAAGAAAGCCTCCTGCCTTCATGGATCTTCTAGGAAATTTCATGTATATTTATTTATTTATTGATTGATTGGCAAGGTCTTGCTCTGTTGCTCAGGCTGGAGTGCATTGGCGCAATCCTGGCCTCCAGTGATTCTCCCACCTGGGCCTACAGGTGCACACCACGAAGCCTGGCTATTTTTAGTTTTTTGCAGAGACAGGGTCTTGCTATTTGCCCAGGCTGGTCTAGAGCTCCTGGGCTCAAGCAATCCTCCTACTTCAGCCTCCCAAAGTGCTGGGGTTACAGGCATGAGCCACCGTGCCTGGCTTATTTATTTAATTTAAAAAAAAAAAAAAGTTAGGAACCACTCGTTTTAAACAAAATTATAATCTTGGTATTTTCCCATCACTGTGAGTCAATGCTACAGAAATGTAGCTAATCTACATTTTTCAGGAACTGGAATACAACAGAAAAAAAGTAATTGAAGTGGAGGAGGTGTCTCTTATCCATGCTTTTGACTTTCCTTAGTCTGAGTTGACCTGTTTGTGCTGCAGACCAAATTATTAGTACAATTTCACTCCCTTTCTTCATTGTCCCCATTGTTATCCAATTAAATCTTCTATTTTTCAGTCTTTTTATTTCTTATAATATTGATATTCAACATCACCTTGTAGGTCGTAACTATAAGATGCCAATTAAAAATATTTCAAGTTGACTTATGACATTACTAAATTATGGGAAATTTAAGGAGTTTTGTTCCTGGATATTTCTATTCTGTTATAACTTGCTACCACCTACAGTTTCTGATGAAAATATTATGAAAACATTTTCTACAGTTGTTGAAGTCATGGAAATACAAACAAACAAACACAAAGTAGATGGGCTTATTTTGTATGATGAACAGATGATAGATTTGGTAGACTCAGCCTCTGATCTGCTCAAGTTCTGCCCCAGAGGTCAATGGAGCTGAGGCAGGTCCTTCAGAAACAATGTAAATTCCTTTCCTGTAACCAGGCTACCCTGGTTTAAAATATCTTTTCATCTCCATTACAAGGATAAACTGATTAGGTCAGTGGCAAAAACTACAGTTACCTTGGCACCAACCTGATATTTTCTGCATCGAGGAGCAAGGGACAATTGTAATTCTCCCTATTTCAATAATTTTTTCTCACTTAAGACAAGTTGTTGAAGAACTAAATACAGTTGTTTTTCTTCGAGACTTTCTACTTGTTTCCCCTGGTGTTAAAAGCTTGACACACTCTTAGACAAAATGAAATAATATTAGCAATGTTATTACAAACTTCAGTTATAACCAAAAGCAAATCATGATGTAAAATACTTCTGTTCATTACCAGTGATTTGATCATGGGTCTGATACATGACCATATTTGACCTTGAAAAAACCTCATAACAAGCTTATTAGGATGTGCACTGATAATTCTTGGTTGCTCTTGGCAAACAGAACGTTTTGCCTAAGGGAAAATTTAAATTCTGGAGCTGCTCTTTTTTTCCTCACCTTACTGTGTAACCTTGAAATAACCTTGAAATAACACAAAGACTAAACTGCAGGTGGTGTTTATTTAAGAGCCTTACGCAGTTTAAGCAAAATCTGGTGTGTCGGAGAACTCTATTTTTGAAAAGGTGCTTTCAAGATGTTATTTTCCTGAGTGAGATGCTTATGAAAGATCTGTCTACAATTTGTTTAGAAAAGCTAATCTGCAGTTTAAAAAAATCTGTTTACATAATTCATCTTAGTATCTGAAAATTTTCTGGTTTAACTTTCAGGGTTTTATTTTTTTTTAAATTTATAATAAACTTTCCCAATGACAGATTAAATTACATGCCCAGAAGCTGTTCTCAAAGGGCAAAGTACTAGAAAGAAATAATGTTAAAGAATCCTGAAGGGAGAGCTTCCAATTTCAGTTCAACAAACAATAAATTCAACAGAGAGGTTGACTTGATCTCTGTTTGTGAAATACAGTATTTTTCTGCGTCTAGATCAGTATATCTTTTTGGCTCAATGCTTTTTTTTTGCAAATGACTTTCATCATCTTCCTGAAAACATTGATTATTAAAATTTAGATGCGATATAAGAAAATGAGTGACCTGTCCAGGGAGTTTATTTTTATACAAGGTAGTCTGAGATCCTGTCTATTTCTTGGACCTTGTAAGGTCCATACCTCATGTGTTGATTTCAGTTACTGAGGAGGTTACTGGGACCTTATAGGCTACGGTGCAAGTTGTTCTGGCAGGTCTTTAACTGATCTTCCCACTTTGGGAGCACAAATGGCAAACTGTTGTTTTGTTATGTTTTCTCTCAAGAGTGTGTGGCATGTTGCCATCTTCCATCTTCTGTGAGTTTCCTGATGACTGTCTTTATGTGTTCTATTAGGTCAATAGAAGAACTTCTTCCTGACTCCCTTGCCTCTTTAGTTGATGAAAATGATAGGACAGTTTCGTGAGCGAATAATTTCTTATCATTTTCTTACTGAAAAACTCTCCCACAAAAGGAGTTGGTTAAGCATTAAACGAACGTTCCACATAGAGCTCTGGCAATGGGAGGAACATAAAAGATTGTTGGGTCTAAAAGGAAGAATCAAATGTTGCTCATCAGTTTTAAACAACACCTAAAGAGCAGACGAAAGGGTCCTCTTTCAGTTTTCCTGAAACCGTGTTGTAATGACAAAATGGTTTTGTGTGTCTGTGTGGTTCTGTTTCTGTTTTGTTTTTGACTTCACAGGAAGAGGTTTAAACATGAAGGCAAACCTTATAGATGTTAGCATGGCTACATTTAAAGCAAAGCTGCCTCTTTTTTTTTTTTTTTTCTTTTCTCTGCTTCCATTTAGGCCTATCACATAATTTAAGAAAACATAAAATTTAACCACAGGAGCGCTAACTATAGTGTGACAAAAAAACCCTGATCAATTTTGTTTTCGCAGCACGATATTATCAAAGATTTAAGAAACAAATTTGCCAGCCTCGGCGAGAACTCTCTGGTAACAGCATAAATGTCTGTGTTGGTTGCTTTTGATTTAAAGGTTTCTTTTTTCATTTGTTTGAGCCCATTTCTTTTCCCCCTCCTTTTAGTTCACTTTATTTTTCATATTCTGTAACTAGCAAGCCTTCATTTTTTAAACCTCTTCCATCTTCCAGTGTCTATTTTCTGTATTTTGGATGGAAAGTTTATGGCAGCAAAGCTGTCATTCTGGCTACCTCTGCTGCAGCTCTTCCTGCTGTTAGGTCATATATGTTTTGGCCGTTGTGTTTATGGACATGATACTAATTGACTGTTTCATGTCCCATTGACTAAGCTTCTCTACCACGCCATTTGATGGACTCACTGTCATAGGGCTCTATGCAACTTTCATTCTGCAACTTATACTGCTTAGTTCCTTCTCAATTCTCCAGTGAACTGGATTGCTCAAGTGAATGGTCATACCAGTCTTGAACTTGCTGTGCCTTTATATTTTATTTTTATTTTCTTCTTTATGTTTCCAGTGGTAGCTTAAGTGGAAAAGAATAAACTCCAGCCATTGCTCCAGCAGCACCATGCAGTATCGTTTGTTACCACCAGAGAATACAAAATATAAAGGCACATTGCATCTCTTATTCTTTGGGGGTGACTGGGGAGATCTGTATCATAAATCCACTACTTTGTTGAAGCCTACCTTTTTATTCATATCAGCTTTCAATTTTGCTTAAACTTCAAGACATCTCAGTTAATGTTTTTCTGTGATTCAGTGATACCTTGCAACTCGAGCCATTTGCTGAGCAGTATCAAGTTATGGCCATGGCATGGGAGATTATTAAAAACGTGACAAACTTATGCACAAATGAATAAATCAGAAAGTGCAAGCTTCATTGACGAAGTACAGTACTTCAAAACTGTGATACAGGCTTTGGATGAATCAAATAATTAAAATTGAGAAAAACAAATCCATGCTGATAAACCAGTACCAAAAGCATATCAAGAAAACTATAAAGGGGGGAAAAAAAAAACCAAGAGTTGAATATGTTAATAATATCTGTTTAAGAACATCGTTGGTGTTGAAATGGTCCATAATGTTGTCATAGAGCCCATACATGAAGAGATGACTAAAAATATGGTCTGTAGAAATCTGCTGTGCTTACTGATACCCTCAACATAAACGGTTGGGATTTGTGTTCAGGAAAAAGAAATGGAAAAGCAAAAGCTTCTATACCAGCAAGCCCGACTCCACGACCGTGGTGCGGCTGAGATGGTGCTGCAGACCATCAGTGCCAGCAAAGGTAAGGTTCCTTGGGTTCCCCTCACAAGTGTCTGTTCTTCAGATTTCCTCGTTGTTCTCAAGGTGCTCCCTCATTTCAATTCCACTGACTCATTTAGTCCTGGGGTTTCTGGTTCATGACTCTATCAGGTGCCTGTTCACAAATACGAGCTCTCATTGTTTACGGAGACCAATGTGAATTTGTTTTTCAGAGTCTTACTATACAGCTTCATTTTCATTCTGTTCTTTAAGTTTTGGAAACTATGTTATAACTAAACCTTAGCAGACTGATCCTATAAAAGGGGGGTGGCCGAGCTTTTTCTTTAAGGTCAGAGAGTCAATGTTTTCAGCTTCAAGGACTATGCAACCTGTCACAGCTCTTCAACTGTGCTGTGTTAGCACGAAAGCCGCCAGACACAATAAGTTAACAAACAGGGTGGCTGTGTTCCAAAACAACTTCATTTACACACAGTTTGTTTACACACACAGGTGGCAAGCTGTAATTTTGTTATGTAATTTATGGTATTTTGCCATAGTTTGCTGACCCTTGATAAAATATGGAGACATTTAAAGTGAGACTTTTTTAACAATGAAGATGCTGTCGTATATCTCAGTAGCCAGCTGTTTCAAGATGATTTTTTTGTACATTCATAATAGCTTCTTTGTGAAAATATTTTAAATATAATTTGTAATGGAAAGGAAAAGTAATGGTGGTATATTCTGTTATTAGGTACCCTTGTCCTTAAATAGAAGATTATTTATATTTCTAAGATAAATAGAGGTGAACAATGAAAAATAAAATACGATATACTGAATAAAATGTTGTGTTATTATCCGAATAACTTAAAATTGAGAATAGTCTGCTTAATAAACCAGACTACAAACATATTAAAGTAAAAGCGATACAATAAAAATGATGAAAGTTCTTCATATATAACATTGTTGAGGGAAGAGGGAGAGAAATTTTCCTTAAAGAAAGTTTTAAGTAGCTCATACTTATTTTAATGTTTATTAAACACATGAGCAATCTTGAATCTTAATAATTTCAGGTCTCAATATTTCAAGATCAGTTGTCTTCCTATTCTGTTACTTCTGTATCTTCTTAAGGTTTCAGTTCTTAGATATTGTAGAGAATTTTTTAAAATGTTGATGCCAAATATGCATTATTATTATTTTATTATTTTTTGGAACATCAGTCAGTCTCCCTCCGCCATTATGAAGATTGCTTGCGGGGGAGCATAATAATAATTTTTAAAGTGCAGCATTGGAGGTAGAATAGGTTAATATAGAAGGTGAAATGATACAAGAAACACTACTTTTTTATATTTTTAGGTGAAACTGGACCAATGGTAGCAGCTACTTTGAAACTTGGAATTGCTATTTTAAATGGTGGGAACTCCACAGTACAGCAGGTAATAGCTTCCAGTCATTCACATAATGTACTTTTCAGACAAATGGACCGTATAGTAAAGAACTATTTGTTGTAAAATGTTTTATTTTCTATGTACAATATGGTTCAATTTTAGTTTATCACGGTACTGAAGAGAAAGCAAAAGAGGGAAAAAGTAATTATGTGATAGTGTTACAAATCCAAACATCAAATGATGTCAAAACATCTGAAAACATCACATGTGGCCTTTTATCATGTCAAGTGAATTCTGGTGCTGAGATATGAACCACTCGCTCACCATGCATTTGCCAAACGGTGGCTATCTGGTTTTGGAACCTGGCAAGGGCAACCAGCTCATTCTGTTCCCAGAATAAGTGATTATATAGCTTTTTAAAAAGGAACAATAAAACAGTCTCTCCAAAACATTTATCAAAAAATAATGTCTCTTGCTTCTGCTTTACTTAAGAAGACCCTCATTACTTAGTATATATATTCAGAAGTCCTTAGATCCGGAGACAATAGTGAGAGATCCTGTAACGTATACTTCTTGTCTACGCGGAACTTGTCTGTTTTCTTTGTAACTTCGAGGATGTATTCCACCATCTCCTTTACTGTAAGCCACATTCCTTTGGTTGAAAAGACGAACGATTGTTTCATTTTTTATTTGACCAAAAGTTATCACACCCCCCATAAATGGCTGTATGATTTTGTGTCTGTGTGTATATGTGTGTCTGTACATCTATGTATCATACATACACTATGTGTATATTTGCTATTTGTGCCTGTGTGTGTGTGTGTGTATATATATGCATATGTGCATATACTTTGTGCGTGTGTATCCTTTACATATTTTGTTTATATTGCCTTTGCTATCTGAAAAATATTACTACTAAAATTTTGTCTGCTTAGCTGAGCCCTTTTTAGAACAGTGTTGATAATAGGAATTGTTCTGCTCTTCAAGATTTGGAGAAAAGCAGTATTCTTATTTCCTTAAACCTTTGAGCATGCTTTCTATCATCTTGTATATGCTTTACATTTGAAATCTCTAATACATTTTAACCATGTCAGAAATAGCTATTTGATTGTGCTATGTAACAGTAAGCTAACAAGACAAAGCATTGCTTTAGCATTTTTTTACATTTATGTTTAACCAAAATTTCGACCATAGATCCTGGATGTCATTCTGAGAACAAAGGAGAAAATTTTAATAGCCAAATGATTCAAATTGTTTTTTCAGTTTAAAGACTATGGAAATGGAAACTGAATTTCAGTCTATAGCATTAGCATATGGCAGTCACCACTCTCAGATTGTAATGCTGTTTTGGGTTTTTTGTTTTGTTTGGTTTGGTTTGGTTTTTTGAGCTGTCACCCAGGCTGGAGTGCAGTGGCGCCATCTCTGCTCACTGCAGCCTCTGCCTCCTGGGTTCAAGCAATTCTCCTGCCTCAGCCTCCCGAGTAGCTGGGACTACAGGCACATGCCACCACACCTAGCTGATTTTTGTATTTTTTAGTAGAGACGGGGTTTCACTATGTTGGCCAGGCTGGTCTCAAACTCCTGACCTCATGATTTGCCCACCTTGACCTCCCAAAGTGCTGGGATTACAGGTGTGAGCCACCGCGCCTGGCCTGTAATGAAATCACCTTGGTGTGGAAACCTGTGAATAACATCTATGGGAATTTTCTTCCCAGTTAACTTGCGAGAAAGTATCTGAATCGCCAAATTACTTTAAAAGTGACCAGAAGAGAATTAAGAGTAATATTACCCCCGACATTTTTGGTGCTTGTGGTCATGTGTAGGGCAACTAACCCTCTTATTCCAAGTTTGTGTAATTATCTTGCTTTGAGGCGTGTGTTCCTACTTCTTGATAACGATGACATTAGTCATGTGTGTACACAGTGAATATTTTCTGTCTTTAGAATGGAAAGCCTGTTTTGGTTGTTTATTTATTTAACAAACAATGAGACTTTTGTTCAGTGGCCATGTGGTTTCTATAATTCCCATAGAAAATGCTTGACTACCTCAAGGAGAAAAAGGATGTGGGCTTCTTTCAGAGCCTGGCCGGCCTGATGCAGTCATGTAGGTAAGGACTCACTTCCTTCTTGGGGTTCTACTCAGTGGTTGTATTTTTTCGAAGCATTTGTTTCTTACTCTGACGATAATTACACATAGAAGAATAGTTAATGATTAACAACACTTTAAAGTGGGATAATCAGCAGTGTCTTCTTTTCTATCTTTTTTTAGGGGGTTGGTAAGATCATAATTAATAACTTACAGAATGGTAATAATGCCTTAAAATAGCTTTCCTATGGTACTATAATCCCAGAACTTTGGGAGGAAGAGGTAGAGGATCCCTTGAGGCCAGCAATTCAAGACCAGCCTAACAGGGCAAGACTCCATCTCTACAAAAAGACTAAGAAAAAAAAAAAAACCTTAGCCAGGCATGGTGGCACACACCTGTACCATAGTCCTAGCTACTCAGGAGGCTGAGGTGGGAAGATTTCTTGAGCCCAGAAGTTTGAGGGTGCAGTGGGCTATGACAGCACCACTACTCCAGCCTGAGAGACAGAGTGAGACCCTGTCTGTAATTTAAAAAAAAAAAAAGACTTCCCCGTGTTTAAATAGGGATCTTGGAGAATTAGTGTATATTCTGTATACTTGAAAATGAGTTGTGTATGCTTTTTTAGAAAAGGAAATTCTATTTAGTTTTATTTAGGAGCTTGTAGACCATTTCTCATTTTATGACTAAATGATCATTAACTCATTTGTGGTAATCATTTTCCTTTTTTTTTCAAGATTTAAAGTCATTCAGACAGCATTTGACTAAGGAATTTGACACACATTTAATGTAACAAGCTATTCCAACTGCAAGAATATAATTATTAGAATTTTATTTCTGCATGTCTGCTAGCTTTGTAATGTACTCCCCATGTGGAAACCTATGAATGCTTTATGTTTGACTTTCATATGGATCATTTCAGTGTAGGCCCAGGGGAGACACTAGTCTGCCACTAAGAGAATGTGGCTGGTAAGCAATGAATGGAGACATGTTTTCAGTGTACGTTAACATTTGGTTCATATTCCAAGATATGTGGTGTTTAGATGTTTGCTCTCCTGAACAAAGAAAATGTTCTATTAGTCCTCTAAATGTTTCTTTTTTCCTTGTTATTATAGTGTCCTTGACCTAAATGCATTTGAGCGACAAAACAAAGCTGAAGGTCTTGGGATGGTGACAGAGGAAGGATCAGGTATTAATGACTTACATTAAAAGGATCACCTGTCTCCCTTCCCTCCCTGAAATGAGTCAATTATCAATTACCTTTCAAGCAGAGAGATACGAAGTTATTTTAAAATCGATGAAATGCTTACATGATTTATTTCAAAGTTCGTAGTTGGACACCCGTCACACCCCAACACCAACCTTCCACGCCGGTCATTAACTCCTTGTGTGCCAGCCCCGTTGCCAGCGGCCTTTCCCCTTGTTGGGTTTTCAATAAGGAATAATGGTTGAATGAAGGATCAAGATCCTTTATTAGAGAATTTTCTGGGAAATCATAAACCACATAGATGAATCTTTCAAGAACATTTGACTTTCTTTGGCCACTTTAGCAAAGTCGGGCTCTCAGATTCTTCTATTTCCTTAGAATAGTCATCCTTTGAGCTCCTTCAGTCTACTCTCATTCCTGTTCTCTCCTCTTCCCTTCCAGCACAGTGATCCTCATATCCATACATGTTTGCAAGTCTAGATTGATAAAAGAAATTAAAGAGCAGTTATTGTGCTTAAATAATTCTGTGCACAAAAGCAGTGATTCACGTGATCTTAGAATTTTTCTCTCTGTAAATAGATGCTGGTATAAACTAGAAAGTTTAGCATGCAATGCATTTAAAGCAGAAATAACTTTTGCTGCCCTTTCATTTTAGGAGTATTTATTAAGAAAAAAATCTTCAATATCTTTTGGTTTGATTTGTTTTTATTCTTTTGTGTTTGATTTTTAAACTAGTTTTACTCAGGGCCCGTGTGTTTATCTGTTTTTGTTTGTTTTGTGTGGTTTGGATATGTCTTCTTGTCAATTACTAGTTTTGGAATATTGGGTCTTTTATTGGACTAATCTTATTTCAAAAAATAATTTTTTCTCCCATCTGCCATTTGTAGTCTGTGTTTATTTCTCTGAAATATTTTCGGATTAACTAATTTATCTACGTATTTTTTTGTTCTCACAAATAGGAAAGAGAATATTTCTTATTGTATTTTAAAGTTTATTATTAATACCCATCCTGACATTGCTACTGCTATGTGGCTCCTGTGCTTATTTTATTTTCTGCTTGACATTTGGATGTACAAGTCTGGTCATCAAATATAAGTCATATGGTTACTTAACTGAGTTAGCCACCTTCAAGACAAATCACTGACACCATTCTATAACTTCTTAGGTTTTCTGGCCTAAGGTTCTGGCCTGAGGTTCAAAAGGACTGACTTTCAAGAAAAATCACCAGAGCCACTCTAAACTTACTTAGGTTTTCTGGGCCCGTCCGGAGAACTTGGAGCCACTGCAGATCCCAGGGCCCATCACCTGCCTACCTCCAGCATCTCTCCAAAGTCCTAAGCAATTTTCAGCTACAAAATCTCTAAAAATGAATGAAGTCTCTGTCTAAAGCCTAACTTCCCTGTCTTGGAATTAGAAATCAATTTCATTTTCCCCTGTAGTTCTTACCTAATGTTCCAGGGGCTCTGACCACAAATCCATCAGTCATTCTTAGTCACTGTTCATATCAGCTCCCAAAAGGAATAGCAGCCACTTAGGTGTATTTTCCTTAGCCTCCTTTCCTTTGTCAGGCAGATATGGATTGGAATAACATTTTCGAGTCCCAATTCAGGAAGAACTTTGTGAGAGTGACCATTCTGATGGGAGAATTCTTTATCTCTCTCCAAATGAGATTGATTTAACTTGTGCATTCTTTTTCAACACATAAGAAAATAATTACTCAAGCCGATTAACACATTTTGTATTATTTCCTTACAAACAGAAAAACAAAAGCAAAATCTCAACTTTTTTTTCTTTTTCCCCATTTCCTTTTCTTTCGACTACTGTAAATGTACTACCCTCCCTTCCTCAGTCATCACTCATGAGCGTGGTAATTATTAAAAATGAACTGTCTTTTGTTTATTTGCTCTTTTATTTGTTAGCTTTGTGTACAGACTTGATAGTGACAATTTTTGTGCATTCTTTTGTGTTGTAGACTGTTTTCATAAGTAGATTATTTAATTTCCATCATGATGCATCCTGTTATTTTTTAAATGCACACATCTAGCTTTCCTCTTTTTCTTTCTTGTTTCTATGAGGATGTGCAGTTATTACGATGTTGTTTCTATGAGGATGTGCAGTTATTACGATGTCAGAGATGAAGGGGCAACAAGCATTTCAATTACGTTTCTGGATTGGTTTTGTTGTCTTACAGTTAAAAACCTTTCCAGTGGGCCCAGCATCTGCAACTGTTGTGTCAATGAATGATCCTAGAATGTGTGCCCTAGTCTCCCTGTGGCGTTTCTGTCTTGAACGTACTGTGGCTTTATGGCTGCACGGATTGGTGCACGGGAAATCGGTGACATATTCAAGGGGGACGTGACAAGCTGAGTCCCCTCCTCACCAGTGTGCTCTGCCAGTTGCCTTCCAAAGATTGGGAGGTCTACTGAGTTTTTCTCTATTCCTTTGAAAATCTTCCAGATTGCAAATCATGTAACATCAAAACAAATTTTTATTTTTGCGACTGAATTCAAAGAGCAGTAGAAACAACAGCAACTATTTGCTCCTCAAACTAATAAACTAACAAAGATGCCAATAGTAATTCAAAGTAGTTTCTGAAAGACATTTTATGCAATGGAAATAAGGGATCAGATTTTAGATAGTGCCCAGGACGCCAACAAGGCTTCCAAGATTAAATTGTGCTTTCTGAATACATGCTGTTGCCTTAATCAAGAGACCTATTAGGAGCATATGTAAGGGCCACTCATTAGCTCTATTAATATTACAGTATTTTCCAGATTGTTTTAAGAATTCCTATACAGACTCTTTTGGCATGTTTAAATATATCTGTTTTGAGACCACTCTTTTGTTTAAGATGCTATAAAAGTTAAAAAAAAAAATCCTATACACACTCATAGGAGAAGAAAAATCAATCATCCCTCTTGGAAGGGATAGAAAAGGCTGAAAAAGCAACAGCTGTTAGTGATGTCACTTACTTCAACACTTGAGGCTCAGAGAGCATGGGCTTAGCACTGAGAAAATAATCTACTGTATCTGAATCTCCTACATCCTTGCCCACTGTTTTTATTAGGCTAAGTCTCTTCCTAATGACAATAATACAACCATAAATTATATAGCCATGGAAAATGTATAAGCTTAAATGTATGATACCCGCAACTCTCCAATGAGGTAGCTATTACCTTGATTTTATAGATAAGGAAACAGAGGAACAGAGAGGTTTCTTGACTTGTCCAAGTTAAACAGCTAAGCAGCAAGGCTGAGACTGAAATGCAGGCATTCTGCCTCCCACTGTTTCATTTACAGATCCCATGAGCCAAGTCACTTCCCTCCCATCTTTTCATATTCTTTGGGGGCTTACTTCCTGTCTACCACTGCTTTTTTTTTTTTTTTTTTTTGCCCCTTGACTTATTGTTTCTTTGTTTAATTATTTTTGAGATGGAGGTTTGCTCTGTCGCCCAGACTGCAGTGCAGTGGTGCGGTCTCAGCTCACTGCAACCTCCACCTCCCAGGTTCAAGCGATTCTCCTGCCTCAGCCTCCCAAGTAGCTGGGATTACAGGCATGCCACCACAATCAGCTAATTTTTGTATTTTTAGTAGAGATGGGGTTTCACCATCTTGGCCAGGCTGGTCTTGAACTCCTGACCTCAGGTGATCCACCCACCTCAGCCTCCGAAACTGCTGGGATTACAGGCGTGAGCCACCACACCTGGCTGCCCCTTGACTTATTGTTCTTTGTCCCTTTCCGGGACACAAATCTCTTGCCACATTTTGCATTTATTGTTAAGTTTCAAAATTGCTTTTGAACTTTTTATGGTTACAAATGTTCCTGACCTGGTATTGAGATACCATGAGGAACCATGTTTTCTTTGAGGTTTGTATATAAAGATTTCAGTTGAATTATTTATACTGTTTTTTTCTACTGCCATTACTGTCATGCAAGTTTGACTTGTGTCCCCTTTTTAGACTAAGTTTCTCTCATTTCTACAAAAGCCGGAGCCTCCCAAGTTTTTTTTTTTTAAAGGTTCTTCAGGAAATGTGTTAATTTGTAATATGCTCAATGTTGTCTGTGCTGTGTATTTTATATTTATATGTGTTTTCTTTTAATGATCTAATCAAGTTCAAAAACAAAACCTGTATGAATATTTAAAATGTCATTCCATTCTTGGATTTTTTAATTTTTTTTTTATCAGAACCATTAACCCCATTACCAAATCATTATGACATTGAAAGTGCAATTTTCCTGCTTTCAAAATTCTTCTTGGAATATAACAGAGGATATTGAATTTTGTTTTTGATCATCATCAGGTAGTCCTGGACTTCATAAAAGCAAGATGAAGTTTTGAAGTTGATCTGATTTCTTAAAAATAGTTTGATTTTTTAAAATCCTCACTACAACATGAACTACCAATTAACCTTCCCCACCTTTCTATCTGTATCTGATAATTTGTTTCACTGAGGTGCTTACTGATACATTTATAATCATCTAATCAAATTTATGTAAAGTTGAAGCAACACAAATTAATTAAGCAAAAGGATTGAATTGATCTTTAAGTATTGGTTACCCTAACTTTTTGTTACTGTTTTTATTGCTTAGTAATTTATGGGCTACCTTTTCCTCAAGGGTTTCCAAATACTTTCACAAGTGTAGTTTAGTATTCTGTGTACCTTATTCTGCCATTCTTGTGGGTAAATTTTCTCTTCAAGGAAAACTTGTGATGTTGGTTCATGGCACCAAATGTTTTCTTCACATCCTTACACAGTTTTTAAACTTTGAAGCGCTCATTTAAATTAGAGTGACTATTATGTGCTAGATGGTGTCCTAAGCATTGGAAATGATTTAGGAGCTCAGTACTGTGCAGACAGACTTGTAAACAAGTAACTTCAGAACAATGCTTTATGCATATAAAGGAATTTAGGTGGAAGTACCTAGCTGCTGGGATGTGGTGGGAGAAACATCACAGAAGTGACATGTTGTCCGAGTTAGGAATCAAGCTGGTGGATAAGGAAGGCAAAGACATTCCAATATGAGGGAACCGCATATGCAAAGTTCAAGGTACCAAACATGGCAGAGAATGGTGACTAAGCTGTTGTGAAGGAATGTTCAGACTAGAGGATGGAAAGATAGCACGTGGGAGGCCACAGAGGACCTTCTCTGCCCTGCCAAGGAATCTGCACTTTTTCTGAGGCCATAGAGAGCCGAGCCCTTAAATACCACTTAAGTGACACTGTATGTGTTGTTAAATGATCCACCTAGAATTGAGTTCCTAACGTTTATTGTTCAACTAATGCTTCTGATAGACTCCACTAACAAAAAGTACAGTGTAGATTTCCCATTTCTCAGTCGTGCTACTAAATAGAAATTGACTCTTCCAAAGATAGTGACCAGCATTATTTCCTTCATGGCAGTGGGAGAGCTCTGAGTTATGCCTAATGATAGATTAGAGGGAATTCTTCAGAGTAGATTTTTCATACAGTTAAAGAAATCCATCTGTTTACCAGGGAAGTATGATAATTGGATTCGTGCTTTTGAAAAATTACTGACAGGTAACATTGTGTAAGATAGGTATCAGAGTCTCAAGGCAGGGAAATCAGTAAGGATGTTGATGAATGGAATGGATGAAAAACAGTAAGAATTTCAGTAAGAGTCTTGACAGCCAAGAAACGTAGGCTTCGGCTATAAGAGAAACAACATGCATATCACATTTGAAAGCAAAGGGATTTTTTTTTTCCTCTCCAGCTAGTTTAATTTGTTTAACAGAATATACTTTAATTCTGTTATCCTTGGGACAAACCTAATTTATTTCACATAGTGGTCGTTTTTGTTGTCTTGGCATCGGAAAGAGGAATGCATTGTATACACTGCTGTCAGATTGTTAACTAAATCTTAATAAATGCACTCAGTGGAATTAATAGAACTGCTGGTCATACAACCTACAGAAATTCTGTAACTTGGAAATTTAGGTCATTTGACCAAAGGCTTCACATTTATTTCTTTTGTGCTTTGTAGACTTCAAAGCACTTTTAATTGTTTGAGCCAATTCAATTCTCCCAACAGTCCTATGAAATGAGGAGTGGAGGAGTTTGTTAATCTCCATATCGACATGATGAAACGAAGGCTCAGAAGAGTTAACTGACTAAAGTCACATATCTAGAAATGGTTTTCCTTTGATTCTGAAATTGATGAAAACAAGTACGAGTTCACAATTTAAATAACATATAGTATGTGTGATGATAATTAGTCAAAGATTTTTTTCGTTACTGATGCTAACTTTACAACATTTAGAAACTATAGCACACTGAATTCAGAAAGGTCATATAATACTGAAATTATCTGTTTATTTCCTGTATCTTCCATTAGACTGTGAACTTCTTCAGGTTCGAGATTATGTTCACCTCACAAGGTGCCTGCCATAGAAGAGACACTTAGTGCAAGTTTATTGAGGTTTACCGGAATCATACTCTTTACCAGCCGATGGCTGTAGGACATTAGTTATTTAATATCTTGGTTGTTCACTGAACAACAAAATGGCATTACATTTAGCTAATTTATAGGATTCTAATAAACCTGAATTGAAGTGAGATAACATATCTAGCACATCATAGTCACTAACCAAATATTAACAGTAGACTTATTTTTTTAATTTACTTTTTAATAGAATTGTAATATAATTGAAGCAGTCATACTTAAGCCACTTAAGCGACAATATTAAAACTTCCCATATGGAATAAAATACCTGACTTTTCACTATTTTAAAATATTTTTAGCATTCTTCAGTTTTGGCAAGATGCAGAATCGATCTTTAAGTCCTCTCCAGATCAACAATCAGCATAATTTCCTCTATGGCAGTGGGGTGCTTTTGAGTCAACTTTATAGAGTATAGGGGATCCTTTAATGTGGCCAGTCCTGTACTTCACGACTCACCTTTTACCTGTGCGTTATTGTAGATATTGACATGACAGGACCTGATAATGAGTGTTAGTCTTTTGGAGTCTATCTTAATTCACCAATGATAGGTAGAACAGTGGCCTTTAAAAATGTATTAACTTTATTAGATCTTTAAAATAGGACTTACTGTTTCACTCTTAGCTTGATTAAACACAATCTACCTAGATTATTTCCAGGAAAACATTGTAATTTTGAGAACCTTTTAATCCATGAAGATGGTGTTCAGGAGATAGATACACAGTTAATAAATTCAAATCGCTATGTTCAGCAGCTTGGTATGATATTTCCATATTTTTTAGTGTTATTGCCACTGCACCTAATATATTAACCTTTCCACAATTTACAAAAAATTACCACAGATTGTGAAGAGCCAGGGACATAGACAGGGTACATGTTATCTTTATTTTAGACAAGAGAAAACGAAGGTGCAAAGAATGAACTCCACAGCAGCAGCAATATTGGAATACCTCTCCCTTTATTACAGTATTAAAAATCTTAAGCCTCTTATAAAAATGAAACCAAAGGAATGTCCTTCACAATATGTACCTTGAGCCCTCGGGCAGCAATTACAAATCGTGATTGACCAACGTAAGAGCACTTTCAACTACATGTTACTTCATTCCGTTATTTGTTATTGATCTTAGTTTCCATCTTACAATGGAATTTCTTTTGCACACATCACAAAATAGACTGCTGATCCTGTACCTTCTGCAGACATAAAGCCATCATCCATCTCTGTTATTCTACCACTTATTTGCAGCATGGGCAATGGCAGCATTTTAATCAGATAGGAATGTCTTCATGAAGCAACAGCACCCCAGCTTATACCTGGTATCACCTGCTGGTAAATGAAGGCCTGACTCGTCCCCTCCCTCACCCCTCCCCTCTTCCCATTGTTCTACGATGTGCGGTGTGTCCTTATATAAGTGAAGTTACTTGTACGTGTTTCGGTATACAGTCAAGAAAATACTGTGTGTGTCAACAATAAATAAAACCTTATGTTATAAATCGTTATTGTGCAGAGTATTTTTAGGTACACAGGTAGATTATATTTATTTCACTGTTTTTCTGAATACTTTCTGGTAAGGGTTACTCCTTTCACATTGAATATATGAACACTTAAAGTGTGTACGTGGTTTATTGAATTGTTGTTTGAAAACTAAAACATTGCAGATGGGCTCACAGGGAAAGAATCAATAAGCCTATGTGACAAACTCATAATATTTTGATTTAAATATAACTTTAAAGACTCTTCTGATTAAAGTGACTCATGAAAATGGTACTAAGTATCACCAATGAAGAGTTTAGTTCCTTTATTTGCCTAAAACATTCTCCCTTTTGTTTCCTATCCTGTCGTGAATTTAAACACTGAGGAATGGACTTATCAGCCAACTATGGGAGATTCAACACAACAGTGTGCCTGTAACACTTAAACTTGCCACAACGTCTGATTTGCATACTTGGTGATTGTAGCGTAGTCACCAAATTTCATATCTTGTGGGCTAACAGGGAAATGAGTACAGTGATTTTATGTACTTTTTTTAATGTTTATATTAGTTTTCAAAATGGTTTTGCTTCCTAACCCTACCATTATATGAAGCCTCTCACTTTGAAAGTCACAGACTGCGGACTGGTAAGTCCATCAGCTCTCTGTCGCTGTGATCACTCATGATTTCACTTAAAGTAAACATACGATCATTGCATCGTTTTCTTTCTCAACCCAAAGTATTTCCATTCTGTAAAAAGTTCTCATTTTTTAAACTACTTTAGTCCATTCATTCACTGGCTATCTTGTCATTTTTGCTTTTAAACAAATTTAGATTTTGGAGCAGGTGCTCGTAATGTGGAACTTTTTTGTTTGTTTGTTTGTTTTACTTCCCCACGGACACTTTCTGTTTTGAAAATCAGCTTCATTTGTGTGGTGCTATTCTGAGTTTCTTTCCTTGTGTTTTTGCTTTCAAAATAACTTGTGATCACGAGACATTTAAATTGAAATATAAGTAAACTGAGCCCTTTAATGAGGTTTTTCTCCTTGCCCCCAAAATACTTGTTTGTGTTGGATGATGCAGAGAAACCTCTGTAACTAGGGGATGCCTTTTTTTTCACCTTTTCTATGTTAGTTTTAGCTCTCACAACACGAGCCACCAAAGTCTTTCTTTTGGTTTCATATTTAGAATTAAGGTTGTTTGCCATTTCCTCCTCCTATGGAAGTAATGCTCAAACCAGTCACATCTCTATTTTAGATTTCAGAAATCTTTCCTTTTTTTTTTTAATTCAGTAGACAGCCTGATAACAAAGTTAATTAAAACAAGTTAATCAACAATTTTCTAGCGATTTACAGCTTTCACAAAAATCCATGAATTATTTTTTTAGTGAAAGAAACTCTTGGCCCTGCTTTTTTGGATACACAGAATACTTTCCATTGAATCATTTGGCCACAATCCAGGTACAAAGCAAATTTAACCTGCGTGAGAGACGCAGAGAAAGGTCCCTTGAGACGCAGAGAAAGGTCCCTTCTATGCACACCTTGCCAAATACAAGAACATAAAGAAAGAAAGAAGCAAAGTTTAAGCCTTTAGGTCGTTTGTAAAATGTTGCCAATCCCATGCTGCTACTTTTAACAGAGAAGTCTGAGTTTTAAAATTCAAACCTTCTTTTCTTACAAAGAAAAAGAGCGTCTATCTGCCAAGCGCATGATCTTATGAGCTTCAGATAGCAAAGTGGCTATGACCTGTGACTGTTTTTGGTTCAGAACAATGCTAGATCAACATGCAAGTTGTATGGAGGTGGGGACAGAAAGGGAGGGGCAGCCTGGGGTGGTTGGTAATGTCTGATCCCTCTGGACTTCCCGCAGGAGAAAAGGTTCTACAGGACGATGAGTTCACCTGTGACCTCTTCCGATTCCTGCAGCTACTCTGTGAGGGACACAACTCAGGTTTGTGAGTCCCCAAAACTTCTGATGCTACTAAGGCATAAATAATGTTTTCAAGCCAGTAATAACAGGAACCTGTTAGTTCCAATTATGCATCATTCTAGAGACAACAAATTGTTCTAGAACGTGTCTCTGCATTGGGCACTGGGACATTTTATACATTGCTTCCCTGCTTTCACAGTCCTTGGATAGGTATTTCACTTGAGTCTTATCAATTATTTTGATGTTAGGGAAGACACATGAGGCTGGGCGCGGTTCCTCACTTGTAATCCCAACACTTTGGGAGGCCGAGGTGGGAGGATTGCTTGAACTTAGGAGTCCAATATCAGCCTAGGAAACATAGCGAGACCCCCATCTCTACAAAAAATTTAAAAAATTATCCAGACATGGTGGTGCGTGCTCATAGTCCCATCTGCGTGGGAGGCTGGGGCAGGAGGATTGCTCAAGGCCAGGAGTTTGAGGCTACAGTGAGCTGTGATTGCCCCACTGCACTGCAGCTTAGGCAACACAGCAAGATCCTGTCTCTCAATAAAAAAAAAAAAAAGATGATTTATGAAAAATATAAATAGTTATAGAGTAATATAGAGCATTATTTCTTTTGTACCACCTGTCTTTACCTTGAGTGTACACATACTTCATTGTACTACTTAACATAATGTATCTCCATTAGTTGTTTACACATCTAACTCTCTAACAGGCTTGTGCACCCCTGAAGGCAGGAACTCTGTCTTAATTTTATCTTGGCTGACCCCAGCACTTTGCACAGTACTGAGGAGTAAGCGATTAATGAATAAATAATTTCCTTCTTATATCCTCAAGGATAGCAACCTTTTTCAATCATTCATTTGCCCAGAGCTCTAGAACTAGGAATAAGGAAACTGATATTAGAAACATCAGAGACAAAAATTGAATATTGATCATCTATGGAGCACGCAGATACTCTTTTGGGGTGATCACTTTTTATGGAAAATATAAATTATTTTCATATTAAAACTATTAGATAAAAACACTGCACTAACCCACAATGATTTTGCCGCAGAAAACATTTGCCTTTGGAGTTCTTAGAATAACTCAATTTGAACTTCTGAGCAAGCATTAATAACATTTTTTTTTATCTTGCATAGATTTTCAGAATTATCTGAGAACTCAGACTGGCAATAATACAACTGTCAACATAATCATCTCCACTGTAGACTACCTACTGAGAGTTCAGGTATGTTGCTTTCTATATTAGTAACAAATTAAAAGGGTTGATATGTTGAAACAATACGGCAGAGTTTTAATGTATTTTGGTTTATAACTAGAAAGGAGTTTTTGAGATAGTTTATCTCTGATCACAATCTCTCAGCAATTCTTAGAGCAAAACTGCCACTGTTATCTCCACTCCTGATCCTGCCTCCTACTTTTGCTCATATTTTATTTCTGTAAGTAGAGATTCTTCCCCTCTGTTTCTTTAGCTTGATGGTATTTTAAAGTCATTTGCATTTTATAAAGCACTTTTATACTCTGCTCCTTCTTCTACAGTTGTTAGACAAATTGGGGAAGAATGTTTGGAACATTCATAGGAATAGGAAAGAAAGGCTTTGTAACTACTACCAGATACTGAAATTTCACAGTCTAAGGTCACTTCTTTTCAGATGTCCTAATATTTGCATTAATTTTCATACCACATTGCTTAAAAAATCTCTGATATTTTGATCATATTTGAGAATGTTACTCAAACTGAATTGAAGATGTAGGCCTCTTAAATAATGAGAGCCCTTTACAACTTTTTTTCCCCTCATTTTATTTATAAGCCAAACCAAGCACAGTATTTTAAAAACTATAAATGCAGACTTTCAGCTTTTTCCTTAATCTTTTGAGTGTGTAATATCACAACCTTTTTTTGCTAACTGAAAGCTTAATGTGGTGGGGGAAGGTCCATTTTGAAGTCAGTACACCAAGAAGTGTTGCTGAAAACATATTTGCAATTTTAAAAATTGTCTGAAAACCCAAACGTAGTTCACAGGCTGAACTAAATTGGATTATTTGCTTATCCAACCAACATTTCTTTAAAATGTACGTTATTGTTAAATACATCTGGTTTATAGAGATTGATCTTATTTAGATAATTGTTTATAATGATTAGTATTTACAAGCAATCCAGCCAGTTTTCTCAGGGACAGGTGCAAAAGCCATGGATATCAGCGAGTTCTCACTGATGAAATGTTATTGGCTTTGTTGGAGAAAAAGGAGGTCAGATGTCGGTACCCCAAAAAAGATTATTCCATGATTCATCTATTTTCTCTGCTCACGTAGTAAACATCTAACTTTGCTCATGGATAAATATGCTCCAGTCTTAATGAATTCTTATGTTTATGAAGTTCAGGGTTACCAGACAGTAATTTTCAAAGCTAAGTTTTCTTCTGGTCTTCTCTTCAGTTGTTAGTTATATCTAAGAAGGAGGTTCCCATATTGTATGTTTAGGAAAATCATTGAAGAATGATATTTAATTCACAGATGTTTTTGTTTGCTACCATATCTATTATTTAAAATACTTCTCAAGCATAGAGTCCCAGACTGGTTAGTCAATGGTAACTTTAGAATGTGACTGAATAATAAACAATATCATCTCTATTTCCCAGGAATCAATTAGTGACTTTTACTGGTATTACTCTGGGAAAGATGTTATTGATGAACAAGGACAACGGAATTTCTCCAAAGCTATTCAAGTGGCAAAGCAAGTCTTTAACACTCTTACAGAGTATATTCAGGTAAACATTTAAACATAGCTGCTATCTGTAGCACTGAATTCCTCAGAAAAATGCAGTATGTCTAGAGTAGTTTCCATATCTCCTATTGACCCCTTTCCGAGTTTCTTTGCAAATTGCTACAATTAAAATATTAGGTTGAGATGTGCATTTATATGGAATGAAATTGCTTCACCATTTGGCAGGTTGAGATATGGTTAACTCCTTAGAGGCATGGACTGTGATATTAGCTCTATTGCACCTCCAGGGCCTGGTATATATATTAAGCACTTAGTAAATATTAAGGAAGGAAGGGAGAGCAGGCACAGCATTAAGCCATTCTTTCTAGTATTCCACTAAAAGTGAGAAGAAGTTTCATAGAAACTTAAGAAAGAGAAGAGCGTTTGAAAACATCGCATATGTATATTATAGATAAAATTCCAAATACCATATAGAATATTCTTTTCTGTTTTACATCGATTTGTTTTATGTTCTCCTTGAACTAAGCTTCTAGCCTTAACTTCGGATTTTTTTTAAGATTTGATAAAATTCTGGATTTTTCTTCAATCAGCAAAACTTTGCTGATGACCAGTCATCTTTCCTTTCTGTCTTGTCTCAGTGGCCCATATTACCCTGAATCATTCACTATGTTTGACGTGTCCCATGCTAAGGATAAAACAGGAGGGAGAAACTTATAATTGGCTTTGTGAGACTAAACATAAGCTTGTGGGGAGAAGAAAGGTTAAGTTAAAAATAAATTGTATCCCAGGAGCCTAACAGTTACAGCTGTTTCAGTAAATAAATGACTCATGGCCAAGTACAGCCAACCAAGAGTAAGTGCTGTAGAGGTAGGAAGACGTCCTCTAGGCTCACTCTCCTCTGCATTCGGTCCCTTGGAAGCATGGCACTTTTTGGATTATTTTTTGCCTTGTTGGGGAAGAGGAACCTTATTTCAGCACTTCCAGATGGAAAAGTCGCAGTTGATAATTCTAATAACATTTCCTTTAAAATCAAATAAAAGTGAAAGCTTCAGTCAGTTTTGGTCTACTCATAGTCCCATTTCCTTACCTCTCCTGGCTTTCATTATTGCTTTAGTATTCGCATTCATGCCTAGAATGATACCAGTACAACAATATTCGTGTGTCACGTCCTGAATAAATAACAGGATTGACTGATGGCATTAGCAAGCCACTGGATTTTGCAGAAATGGGAATCAGGATGATTTCTATAATATATTCCAAATGAAACATAACCGCCATTTCAGCTAAGAGTGGGCATTTCTTTGTTCCTAAAATAATTGAGATTCCTGAATTTATCGAAAGCTAGAAGCATCCATTGAGCCCTTACTATGTGCAAAACTCTTTATTAGGTGTTGTCATAGAACACGGATTTCTACGTGAATGTTCAAAGGATATTGGATAAAGTCATGGCTTATCATGCTTGGTTCAATAAGAACCAAAAAAAAAAAAAAAAAAAAAACAGAAGTAACAAGTAACTTCTCTTGTTACTTTTTTATATGACATATTTTAAAATAACAATCATGTGAAATATGTATTTTGGAATAATTTTAGGTATTCAGAAGAGTTACAAAGATAGTACAGAGGGTTTCTGTATATGATTCACCCAGCTTTCCCTAGTGCTGACGTTTTATATACTCATGGCACTTTTGTCAAAACTAAGAAATTAACATTGGCACATCCCGTTAACTAAATTACGGCTTTCTTTTGATTTTACCAGTTTTTCCATTCATGTTCTTTGTTTTTTAAAATTCTGGGATACAATCCAAGTAACCACATTACATTTAGTGAAATATGGTTTAGAGAAGTTTGCCTTAGTGGCATATCTGCTGATAAATATTGATACCATGAAGATAAGCTTATCGTTAGCCTCGTGCTTCTTCTAGACTGCCTTTTAGATTACAGCATTGCATATTGCTTTATTATTCAAACTTCTAACTACAGCAAGTTATATAAGGGGGAGATCCAACACCATTGAAATAAATGGAATTACCTGTAAGATTGTAATCCCAGTTTAATAAAAGGGGAAGAATTGTTTGAGTAAGAGGACGTTGTATTGTCGAGGTTCCTAGAGTAAGACCATGAGGTAGTTGTTGAGAAGAGGGAAAGCTTGATCTGTCCTTGGCACAGGTCTTTCTGGTAGTTAGCAAAGGTTTTCCATGTTGCAGGCACATACATCATGAGAAAAAGAATGCAAGGCAGCAGGCTAGGGAGTTTACAGCTCCCAGAAGCTGATGACCTAAGGTTGAGCTAGCCCTAGAAAGGACATTCTGTGTGTTTCGGGTTTTAGAAGAAGAAATGGGTACTTTGGTTCTGGGCTTGCGACTCTGTCACGTGAGGGTTGGCCAGACAACTTTTGGTCACCTAGGGGTTGCACGAGAGCATAACCCCTTGTAATACTTCAACTTTTGATTTAAACCTTACCTATCACAGGAAGAAAATTATTTCTGACTTGAAGAAAAAACAAGTTTATATTCCTAAAAATGGCTTTCTAGTGTTCACCTAATAGCCTCTTGCACTTTTCATCCTCCCTCATTTATATGCCATTGGAATACCAAACTGACAGTGAACATCAACCACAGGAAAACCCTAAAGATCTATTGCTTTCAAACCAGAGCTGTAATAGCCATTTTGGACTAATTACAACCAGGGATGAAGGAAACTATAAAACTACTATATCTGGTACATTAAATGAACTGGATTTAATGACCTCCAGATTAAAATAACCTGATTCCTTCTCACCACTGTCCCTTCAGACTTGCTCTGTTGACCATTTCTTTACCACTAGAAGGAATCTTGTGCACTGACCACTTTCAGATAAATAAAATCATGTCAGTCACTTTGTCACAAAAATAGTCTCATTTCAGTAAAGCTTCCCCTCATTCTTGGGCCTCATTTTCAGCTGGAAAACGTGGAGTGAGGGTGTGGGCAAGAACTCCCATCTGGATATTGTTCATTCTGGAGGGAGTCCAGTCTGCGCTTTTTTTACTCTCTCCCCTCAAGGCTCTTCTCTCTCTTTCCCTTTCCCCTCCTGGTTAACCCCAGGCTTCCTCTGGGTTGGAGCTGTGGGAGAGAGGAGGTAAAAGGAAGGAAAGGTCTCCACTGGGCACATGTAATCCCAGAGTGCACCATGGAGCTGGCCCTCTGCTGTGATGTGTTGTATTTTTTCATCTAACATGCAAGCCTGGCCCTCTTAGTCCTCCAGTGCCTGGAAATGACTCTTCTCCCATCCAGTTTAAAGTTATTCCGTCAGACCTCATGCATCTGGTGGCTCCCATCCACCTTGGAATTCTGTCACCATTTCAGACTGATTTCAGATGGGGCAGAATGGCCCCTTCCTGAGTAGTCCATATAAGAAACACACATCTTTTTTGTCACATGCTGTCTGTCATGCTTTCTAATACCAGACCTTATGCTTCCCAACTTCAGAAGACAGAAACTGAGCTCACATGATGGCTCTCCTGAAGCCTCTTCTCTCACTTGCTGTAAGGGGATGCAGAAGTAAGGAAATGGAGAGGCTCAGCACATGGAGAACCCCCTCCAAAGTCTCCCCCTTTTCAACTCCAACCCCTTTATATCCTTAGAGTGGAAAGATCTATTTTTAGTCACCCCTTTTGCAGATAGTCTACTGCTTTTGTAATACATGGGTACATGTCATTCTCATAATCATATGAGAACACATAGTCAATATCTCAGCTGTAGGGCGTCAAGAGATACTGAGACAGGAAAAAGTTCTATTTCAGCATCTTGGATATGGCCATCTCTTCCAATCACTTGTTTCTAGCATAAGATCTGAAATGTTTTTATGTGGTCTGCAATTTAAAGTTATTATGAGTTGTTATTTGCCTAAAGGAATGAAGGAATTTGAAGTTAAGAACAGTATTGTATGTACTTTTTTCCTTTCTAAGTAAAATCCCTGTTATTTTCATGGCTGATGTAGATGGGTTTACAAAACTGAATGATGGTAGAAGTTTTTCACTGGAAAGTGAAAATAGAAATCGGCTCCAAGAAAACAGTCTGGCTGCTACAGCAGATCCACTCTAGTATTGGTACTTCAGACGTGTCAGCTAAGAGAACAAAGTTAGGCTTGTTAAAAGATAAACTTAGGCACAATAACATCTTACGAAGTTTATCTGAGCATTCAACTATTTATGAATTGAGCAACACCAGAACACTAATGGTTCAGCCCTTCACCAAGGGTGGGGGAACTTTTATAAGGCGCTCCTGGAAGCAAGACAAGCAAAGAGATTTGATTGGTAAAAGTGGGACGTTCCTAGTTAGAAGTTGGTTGGCAGTTTCTGACTGGTGAACTCTAGTTAGAAGTTAGTTGGCAGTTTCTGATTGGTTAAGCTTAAATTTACACTGAGTTGGGATTTGGTTTTCTTAGGGAGGAACCCAAGACACTGGAGCCATCTCAACCTAATGATCTCTCAATTAGTTATTTGAACCACTTCCAATTGTCTTGGATTCTGGATTCATGAAATTAATAAACAAGTATTACTCTTTTAAAACACCTCAATGGTTGTACCATTTGTAAAACAGTTGTCCAATTTAGAAAATGTTGAAGAGGATTTTTTTCTCTATGTGAATGCTTT